CCCTCTCTGCCCCTCCGTCCCGTGCGCGCCGGCTCCCCCCTCTCGACGCCGCCAGCTGTGGCCCCGGTCCCTGCCCCTGCCTCACCCTGCCAGCCCTGCTGGGCGGGCTGGCCGGCGGAGAAGGACCGGGCGGACGCCGCCGCGTCGTCGTCGGGCCTTCCGCGTCCGCCCTGCCGGTTCGGTCACCGGCTCATTGAGCTCGCCGCCTCGTCGCCGTGGCGCCGCCGCCGCCCTCCTTCCTCCTTCCTTGGCCGGTGCGGCTTCGCTCCCACCATGCACCACCTTCCCCTCCATTGCCGGACGCGCACCGCGCTGCGCTCCGCCGCGGCAGAGGGGCCCGAGCCCGTGCTTGGGGGGTGGCCGGAAGGGCGGACCTCGGCTGCGCGGCGCTCTCCTGGCGCCGGCCATCGCCGATGTCGCCCTCTCCTGCGGCAGCGCCGCGGTTGGCGGGCATGGGAAGTGTCGTGGCCTTGCCCCGGGGACCAAAATTTTGTCCCTTTAGTCCGTCAGTGGCGGCGGTGCTCGGCGTGCTGGTGGTGGCGGCGCTGCAGCGTTCGGGGGAAACCCTAGCTCCCTTCCTCCCCTCCCTAGTGGATGGGTTGGGCCGTCCTGGGCCGTGTGGGCCGTTCAGGACGGGGGAGGCCGTTGGGCCCTCGGGGCCATCTCGACCCGCTGGGCTGCCTGGGCCCTCAGTGCCTGGGCCTGCGCGGTCAGGTCTCGCCGCGCCTCGGGCCGTGGCCCAGGCACAACCGGACAGCCGGCTCGCCACTTCTTTAGGGTTGGGCGCGACTCTCCTGTTGCTTCCCTCTCCCCTTCTTCACTCGGCGCCGCCATCCTGCGCCCTCCCCTCCCCCTTCTTCTCCGCGGCGTCGCCTGGGCGGTCCTTCCGCCTTCTCGCGTCCCCTCCCCTCCCCTCGCTGCGTCGTCCATGGTCCGGGACGTCGGGGATGGGGCCTCTCGCCCCAAGCGTTGGGCGGGCAGCCGGGATGCGCCACCGCCGGAGGAGTCATGCTGTGCATCGCCGGACGGCTCCCGGAGGGAGGCCGAGCTCCGGAATGTCCTGCTCCGTGGCAAAAGGTCGGCCACGGCCGATGACGCCAACTGGCGGTCCTCTTGGGGTCGTGACCGCTCACCCGAGGAGTGGTGGGGACGTGGCCGGGACCGGGACCGTCGCTCCC